ACTTTACTCCCTGACGAACTCTCAACATCAAAGTGAAGAGGCGTGAAGCAAAGAGTAAAGTGAAATGAAGTGGAGTGCATTGAAGGGATGCAAACTGTGGTGAAGGTGTTAAGGTTACATAAATGTGAAGTGGACTGAAAGGGAGGTAATGGGGAAAAGTCAGTGCACCAGTCCACGAAGATAAGAAATGTTACTGTATTAGTCTATAGTATGCTAATTTTCCTTTTAATATTATTACAAGATCTTTATTATTATAACTATTATGTTAATTAATGACATTTGTATTGGTATTGTATTGAGAAATAAATTTGTATTGTAATTGTAAGTGTAACTGTATTGTAATGTTATTCATTGTGCGTAGTATGTATCCCTTATTGTTGTGTAGTTTTGTGCGCTGTGCATTGTTCGAGCGTAGGGCGTTATTTTTTTTTGTGTTGTGTCTTATTGTGTTACCATTACATCGGACAAAAACCCATTAGCAGTCAAAGAAAAATAATAATAATACCAATAATTCAATTCTTGTTTATTCACGTGCAAACTTAACAGCACAGTGGTCAATTAAAAATAATAATAATAATAAATAATAATAATAAGAATAATAATAATAATAAATACCTAACACATACAATTAGAATCGTCCTTCATGCCAGAACATTTCTTCTGTATTGCTTATATGCTACTTATAACTAGTAACTAGTACTTTTAATTAGTTGAATACAGGTCCCTACAGAGTAGTAGCAAGCTCTTGAATATTATAAAGCGTCCGTTTATGTGAAATTGCCAATTTCACGGTTTGCTAGGAAGGCAAATCTCGCCTCTGAATTAATTTTGAAACTACCTCCCTTGTTCCTTGTGCGTTCCTCCGTCACGGCTCGCGGCTCGTGCCCGGACAGCTTCGCTGATCAAACAAACAAGTGTCAGAAGGTTTAAGCAGCCACCCCCTTCTAGTTCCGTTAATTAGTATACAGGGCACCATCCACGGGCTCTGTGTTTGAAACTTAAACAAGGCTAATTAACAACCATAACCAATTTGCTGTCAACGCGGGTACCATGGCAATAAATATTCTTTAAGGACTAGCAAAGCAGATTAATACAATGTTCTGAGTACACGTTTCACAAGATCCCTCCAAAGATCTGTTTTAACAGTAAGTTCTATATGAGAAAAAGCGGGAGAAATACGTTCTAAATGCAAGAAATATTGTATGTTAGCGTCACATCGAGGTTTTCAAATAATAAATACTATCATAACCACATCCACCTCTGTGGTCTAGTGGTCAGAGTTTCTGGCTACAGATCCAGAGGTCCCGGGTTCGATTCCCGACGCTACCAGATTTTCTGAGAAGTAGTGGGTCTAGAACGGGGTCTACTCAGCCTCGTGAGGATAATTGAGGAGCTATTTCAAGGAAATAGCGGTTCCGGTCTAGAAAACCAAGACTAACGGCCGTGAGGAGCCGTTGCGTTGACCAAGTGACACTAACTTCACCGACAAGCGGCGGTCGCTCGGTCGCTCGGCCGGTATAGTTCGCTTGGGGACTACACGCCACGGAGTTATGTTATGTTATCATAACCACATATTACATTCTAAATGGCCCCATAGACCGTCCGTCTTAGCGTCCGTTTTGTCTGCGCAGTTCTAAGACGTCAGGTAAGACGATCCGTCTGTGGTAGAATTTTCGTCCCTGTACCCGTATTAGGCTTGGCTTGAAATACGTCAGCGACTGATTTTTCTGTGCGTGTACAGGCATGTCCGCGAGCAAGTTGGATCGTGTGTGGGGCCTACAGTTTTAGCGTCAGTTTCAACTAATTTTTCCAACTGTGCACTTCGATATGTCGGACTTGAGAATCGTACCCCGAGTATTTTTGAGCGAATTCATTCAGCTGTATCGTAGTAATCCGTGTTTGTGGAAGATCAGAAGTAAAAAAAAAAATCTTGCTTATGAACAGTTACGAGTTAAGTTATCGGAAATTGATCCCGAAGCAATAAAGGAAGCAAAGGTAAAAAATGAATTCACTACGAAGTTGTTTTCGGAAAGATCTCAAGAAAGTCAAGGATTCTCAGAAGTCTGGCAATGGAACAGACGGTAATTATGCACCAAGTTTATGGTACTACGATGATTTTTCTTTTTAACGGACCAAGAACTTCCCAGACAGAGTGTCAGCAATTTGGATTGCATTGCACAATCATTCTTTCTGATATTTGGCGCTACCAAATGAAGAAGGTTTAAATAAATCTCATTGTCCACCCTTAAATAATTGTACCAACGACCCGGTTCTAGAGTTAAATATTTCAGCAAATTTATATGCGAGAAGTTACTTCGTTTAAGTAACCAAGCCTTTGCGCATTTTGACCTAGGCCTTTTCTTTTTAGTTCTTGATCCCAAAGCTAACGCTAGAGGGGTGTAAATTAGAAGCCCCTCCAACATGTTGCTCCGTGCACGATCCGCCAAAACTGAGAACAAGACTGGCAACAAAATCAGAATGTCTGTGCCCTCTTCAGCGTTGCGTCTTACGTGACACCTTTTTTTTTTATTGCTAGTGGGGTGGGACTAGGTCCCTTGTACTGCGGCCACTTCTGGCCTATTGTACCAGCCCCAGATGATAGGTGAGGGTGATTGTGGAACAATTGGTGGAGTGAAGATTGGCAGGGAAACCGAAGTACTCGAAGCAAACCTGCCCCAGCGCCACTTTGTCCACCACAAATCCCACTTGACCAGACCCGGGATGAAACCCCAGGCCGCCGCGATGGGAAGCCAACGACTAACCGCTTGAGCTATGGCGCGGCCTACCTGACGTCTTAGAACTGCGCAGGCAAAACGGCCACTTATAAAAGTGTAATATTTATATTGTGACGTGTTGCGCTATGCAGGACACTCCTCCCCCCCGCCATCGGTGAAGTAACACCATCTGAGCGCTGTCGTTACTAGGGTAATAGGCAAGTCAACACTCTTTCCGTTACCCCGACAGCGGTGAATTGGCCAAGGGATGCCGCGTTTGCTATATAGCCGTAAACAACTCCCGACAGCGTTGCCAGTAACACCTGTAAACACGGCGCCAGACAACAGTGGTGCCTATTACGTAACTGTTTTCCCGTTGTCCGGCTGAGGGTTTATAAGGGAACTACACAGCCGCCGAAGACAGTTCTCAAGGCAACAGTTACGAGTTACCAGTTAGTCACGAGTTATCCAGGAAGTCGCCAGTCAATTGTAGTCTAGCATTTGCAGTCTAGTATTTGTGATACTGCCGATGGCAGTAATTGTCAGATTGTTAATTGTGTGATTGTAAGAGCGAATGTGAAATAAAATTCGCTATATTCCAATAAGGCGTGAAATTATTTGTCGCGTTATACACCCAACACCTGACAACTGGTATTTCAGAAGTGGGATTGGACTTACACAATATTTATATTTTCAGTGTAAGTTGAGAAATTTAAAATAATTTTTCTACCGCCAGTTATCCCCTAGGAACAAGGCAACTTAATGCAACGTCATGGCATTGAGAAAAATTAATATTATGGAAAATTGTTTTTATATACAAAACAAGTGCATCTGTCCTAAGTATGCGAACAACCGCTGTAATTAGCACAAATAACAACACTGATCGAAAAGCTTTCTCTACAAGAATATTATTTCCACAACACAGCGAAGTTTGCCCCGTTATCCCCTAAATTTTCATATAAATGTGAGGCTACATTGATTATCTAATGAATTCAGCTGTTTGAGAATTTCCTTGCTGTTATTGAACAAGAAGTTGTGTCGTCTTCGTTGAACCCAACTACACAAGGGCAGTCACTTTAACAAAACGATAAACATGTCGAACACGCGTGATATCTGAGGCAGGCGACATTTTGAGCAACTCTTCTATATTGAAAATGGAGGCAGTATGTTCCCCGAAACGTCGATAAACATCTACGAAACAACAGTGTGTCATATCTCTGACAGCAGTAATCTTCTAAGATGAACTCGAAAATTTAGATTGTATATCTATAACTTCGACTGCCTCTGTGGTCTAGTAGTCAAGAGTTCCTCGCTGCAAATCCAGAGGTCCCGGGTTCCATTCCCGGCGCTACCAGATTTTCTGAGAAATAGTGGATGTGGAACGGGGTCCACTCAGCCTCGTGAACATAATTGAGAAGCTACTTGAATGGAAAAGTAGCGGCTCCGGTCTAGAAAACCGATATTAACGGCCGTGGGGATCTATCCGCTAAAGTTGGCACTAACTTCGCCGACAAGCGGCGGTCGCTTGGTCGGTATAGTTCACTTGGGGACTAAGACCACGGAGTTTAGATTTTTATCTATAACTTCTCACGATCAAGTTACAATTCTGTATCAAAATTTTTATAGTTTTGATGTTACGAACGAGATATCTTGGTTCCGATCGAGCTGTCATTCTGTTCCGGATTTATTTGTTGACCTTGATCTGCAGAGTTTACTTCTTTCATGAGGTTTTCTTGTAAAATTCCGTGTACCTCTTGAGAGCCGGAATAGTTCAATCGGTATAGCGACAGGCTACGAAGTTGGACGGCCAGGGTTCTAGTCCTAGTAGGGGAAGAAGAGATTTTTCTCTTTTCCACAGTGTCCATACAGGCCGTAAGTCCCACACAGCCTCCTATCCAATGGTTACTGTGAGCCCTTCTCACGAGGGTAAAGCGGCCGTGGCGTCAAACTGATCACTTACCTGCATCTGCCGCCGAGGTTAATAATAATGGAGCTATACCGCCACTCCGCAATACTTCTTCAAAGCTTGATGCTTAATTAATTAGATACAGGGTTAACTTCACATTTTACCCTTAAGTTATCTTGTCTTGGTAAGCCTACTAGAGCGGTTGTCGCCCTTAGAACGAAACAACGGTTCTAGCAAGAAGATTCAAATTTTCGCCATCACGTACCTCACAGAGCTTTGCTTCAATAAATTGAATTACTGTTTACTTGCACACAGACTAAAAGCTAGGTCGGTATACTAACTTCCTGGGAGTTCAGTCTTAAGTTAGTTTCGTGTTTCAGAGCGTTGACGATGCGATCGGAACCCGCAGAAGATGCAGTGGCGGCTGCTGCGATGGCAACGAGCAGCGAGTCCACGGATCTAGCAGGTTGCTGGGAGCAGCACGAGGGCTCGGACGAGTCGTCCTCCGGCGGGAGAAGGAGCCGCTCTGCCCGCAGATCCAGGCCGGTTTCCACCGTGGCTCCTGAACTCGACCTCACTGACTCATCATCCGTGAGTAAAACTAAACTCTCAGGCTTAGAGGTTTATTGATACTTAGCGTATCCGCTGCCCCCATGTGTAGCTGCAATTCTGATACGCGGATTTGAATATATATTCAAATCCGGGTATCAGAATTGGGGGGGGGAGGGAAACGAAAATATTTTCCAAATATTTGAAAGAAGAATAAGATGAAAAGGGTAAAGCTTACGCTGTAACAGAACCATAGGTTTATGAGACGTTGAGGTTCCCAGATTTTCTAGACAATCGGCTCAGAGATGGCGGTGAGGTTGTCAGCCTTACACTCCGGCCGGCCGCTCTTTACCCACATGAAGATTCCTGGTACTCATTTATGTTAGAGGCTGAATCGGCCCTGGGGGCATAGTGCGGCTGAAAGATTCAGTTAAATAGAAAAATCCAATGATATCGGGAATCGAGCCCGCGACCTTCCGGCTTGTAGCGTAGTACCTCAACCAATTACGCTACTGCGTGTCATTTTAAAGAACATTAAAAAGAATTCATAGCCAGGTTCAGGAAAATGGTATATGGGGATAAAAGAGTAATCAAGAAGTTTGATTTGTTTCATTCTGGTCCGTCACAATAACAATTACAATTATAAATCACTCCGTCCAATGTGACCTGTAAGTTTTTTACTACATAAAAACTTAACACCCTTACATGTTTCGGTCTCTGTGGACCATCTTCAGAGGGCAAACATCACTACAAATAGGAAACCACTATCACATAATTTGTTTACACGTAAAGTACGTACGCTTATATGTTACAATGCATAGTACACAGAATAGAACATTTCACAAACACAGCAGTTTCCTGGGAATGTAAAGTTCTAAAAAAATTAAAAAATTGTATAAAAATCCTTGATGCTAATTAAAAGTTTTTTAGATTGTCAATAATTAAAATTCGTAAACCATGCAGGCTCGTGTTCGTCCTCCCATCGTCTTTCTTATATGGGGCAGATATTGTGCCACCTGGTTATCTTGATGTGGAGGTTCTTTATATCGTCCAGGGTTTGCTCGTGGCTGCTGTGCTGTTTTCACTGTTCAGAAGTGTGTTAAGTTTTTATGTAGTAAAAAACTTACAGGTCACATTGGACGGAGTGATTTATAATTGTAGTAATCAAGAAATTTATAAATTAAGTAATGAAACAGATTCAGCGAAATAGATCAAAGTGGGGCGGTTGAGATGGTTGGAACATGCTTTTAGAATGCAGGAGCAGAACACTTGTAGCAAATTAACTCTACATAAACCAGAGAGCACTCGACGAGTAGGCTCCTCTGCTATCAAACAAACACTCCGTGGCTTGAATCCGCAAGCGAACTGTAGCGACCGAGCGACCGCCGCTTGTCGGCGAAGTTAGTGCCAAATTTAGCGGATAGAGAGTGTCACGTGGTCAGCGCAACGAATCCCCACGGCCGTTAATCTCGGTTTTCTAGACAGGAGCCGCTACTTCCTTGAAATAGCTCCTCAATTATACTCGCTAGGCTGAGTGTACCCCGATCCGGACCTACTACTTCTCAGAAAACCTGGTAGCGCCGGGAATCGAACCCGGACCTTTGGATCTGTAGTCATAAACTCTGACCACTAGACCACAAAGGTGGTCGGCTCCTCTGCTATCACGTGGATAAATTCAGTTGAATCTGAAGACAATGAGCTTTAGAAATTGGAAATGAAAGTCACATGATAAGGTCGAATGGCAAGCAGTCGTGAAAGAGGCCAAGGGTCATCATGGTCTGTAGTGCCCGCAGTAGGAGCAGACCGGAAAATATTAGAAATATTGAGCGTACGGTCTTGCCACATCTCAGATAGTTAGTCGCTGGCTTCGCGCCATGAGAGCCCGGGTTCAGTCCCAGGCCTAGTCTAGTGGGAGTTGTAGTGGACAAAAAGTGACACTGGGGCAAGTTTTTCTTCGAATACGTCGGTTTCCCTTGCCGATTCTAATTCCACGAAATGCTCCGCGCTCATCTATTTTTCTGGGGTGATAAATTGTACAACCACAGTGGCCGGCCTACCAAGTGAACTCAGTTCAACCCCAATTTACGATTAAGAAAAACTTGGAGCAGATAATTTTACAAACATAAGTAGAGTTTACACGCAGTTTTATTATAAATTCTGAGAAGATAAATCATAAATAAGTTATTATTTATAAGGGAATTTCAGTACCTTTTAATATATTCTATCTAACGATCCTAATTCTAACAGAGTAACATGTTACATGACCTGCCCACCTCATCCTCCTTGACTTGATCATTCTAATTATACTTGGGGAAGAGTACAAGTTATGAAGCTCCTCATTATGCAGTTTTCTCCAACCTCCTGTCCCTTCATCCCTCTTCGGTCCAAATATTCTCCTCAACACTCTCTCCTCAAACACCCTCAGTCTATGTTCTCCCTTAATGTCAGATATCAAGTTTCACACCCATACAGAACCACAGGCAAAATTATAGTTTTGTATATTCTTATTTTTATGTTTTTGGACAGCAGACTAGAAGACAAAAGCTTCTGGACTGAATGGTAGCAAGCATTACCCGAGTTCAATCTCCTCTTAATTTCCTCCTGAATCAGGTTCTGAGTTGTTATAGTCGTTCCCAAATATCTGAACTGTGCCTCATTTTCAAAACATCTCTTTCCTATCGTTAGTGTTTTAGATACACAAACATAAAAGTTACAGTTACTTCCATCTCTTACTCTTCAATCGCTGTTAAGAAAAATCGGCCTGAATTCTTGATAATATATTTTAGATCACGTGAATATTAAAGCCATTACTGTAAGCACCCTAATTTAAGCGTTTAATTGTCTTATCCTTCTAACCTGGTTTTACATTATTTGCTGCTGCTACTTGCTACTTTCCGACCTAGTTTAGGCGCGACAGGTCCAAAGATAAATTGCACTCTCTAAAATAAGGAGCCTTTGCCGTGCAGTTCCTATCATCTCTGGTAAGTGATGAGCTCTGATATCATAAAGCGATCAGGTCGTAAACACTGTAAATCAATTTTGTCACAAATTCAAATGATGGTAAAAATATCAGAGCTCAACTTCTCACTACAAATATCAGTTTAATATCCAATGTATTCAATTATATAAACTTAAAGTGCTAAGTTTTGTTCTATTGTTTACGTCAGACTTCTTTCATTCGATGTTTATGTATTTAAATGTCCATATTTTGCTGCGAGGTCCTTCTGTTTACATATTGAAACTGTGCAGTTCTAAAATACAGAGTAACCGGATGAAATATATAAAAAATAAAATAATTGTATCTCAGAAAGCTTTAACTATACACATTTATGGGTTACACCACTACAAAGGGAAGCTATCAAAGATTTTCTGAGTATATGACTTTCTCAGTAAATTTAAATGTGGGGAGCTTGGTAGCACGACAAATATCCAGATGATCCAGCATGTTTGGTGTTACCGTAGCCACAGCGTCCCTTATGCGGGCTTTCAGGTTTTGCAGGTCTTTGATCTTAACCTGGTACACAATGTTCTTCACATAATCCCACAAGAAAGAATTCAGTGGAGTTAAATCTGGCGACCTACGAGGCCAAGCGATTGGTCCACTTCTGCCGATCCATCTCCCAGCCATCTCTCTGTCCATGTGATTTCTAACATGGCGGCAGAAATGCGGCGGCGCATGCGCGTAAGCCGGGCATGAAAGAAAAACTTTCAGAGTTTTCCTTTCCGATGACATAAACCGGATACATGTATGACAATTAGTTTCCGAGATATACATTTTTTATTTTGGATACCTTTCATGCGTACACCCGATATTTATAGCAGAAGTGGAACTCTGAACCCAAAGATGCACAACCGTTTCCTTTAATGCTTAAGTCAACAGCCATCATTAATGCAGCATGTAGACCCATTGCTAAGTGGTGACTGTGTAAACAGCGGCCGTTGCTAGGCAATTCCCGCAACATACACGCATACAACAACAGAAGGGATGTGTTTTTCATGTGGTCCGTGCCGGTGTTATTTAGGGAGTAGAGTACAGTAGTGCGAGGTTAGTCGAGTTGAGTTGGGTGAAGTGGAGGGACTTGGTTGATGAGTGAATCAGTTAAAGGACTGATGAAGTTCACTCCTTAAGAGCTGTTGCTGTTAGAAGCTGGTAGCTGAGCCACTGGAATAGTTCGGGAACACAGAGTAAGGGAAAGGTCAGCCGTTAAAGCCGTTGCCAGGCAACGGCTGGTGAAGACATAGCAGACTGAGAAGATTTAGTACGTGCTGCAGTGAACTGCTGAATGCACGAATTAGCAATAGTGATATAGTTACTTATAGTTGTGATCTGTAAGTTGTCAATGAATTCCATCACCAATCCACACCCTGTCTATAGTTACACTCATACATGTGACATTATGAAGACTTGATTTACAGGTAGCAGGAACGTTATAGTGACATGGGAGAGGGGTGGAATGATGCGCTGGAGGACAGTTATGTAACAGACTCCTCGTTTTACTAAGGCTGAATTGACGAATTCTCGCGTTACACTTCGTATAAACGTCAAAGAATAGCATTTAGTTATGTGAAACAAAATTTCATATTAACTGCAAGAGAAAACCTGATAGTTTAAAGGAAATAACGGAAAACCTTCGGCACGGTATTCGCTTCCCGGTTCGAGTCTCTATAAATACACCATGAATGACAGCAGTAAATAGCACCGTATTACTAACACGAGCAGGTCAATAATTATTATAATTCGTGTAACTGTCAACAGAAATGGACCAATATAGGTCTAAGTGCATGGGGAAACCCACCCTCTCCAATAACTAACTAACTAACTAACTAACTAACTAACTGTCCTGTAAAATTCTTCTTAAGATATTTCTGAAGGTAAATATGTAAGGTAAATTTGTCCTTGGACTTAATTAAGCACCACTCCATGAAGACGTATATGGGAGTGGAGATACAGCTCCAACATTCTTGGATTCGACGCTAGATAGAGAAATGTGTTCAGCTTCACGTTCCAGCCGCTTTATCCCCGGGGAAAGAGGACCTGATAT